GCCTGTGCAGTTAGCCCGTTACATCGCAGAGGGATGGAGCCCGGTGAACGCCACCTTGGCCGCTGCCGCGCGCCCGCGCCGCAAGCCCAAGGAGCTCCTCAACTTCCCCAGGCGCAATTCGACGTTGGCGAACGGCTGCTGCCTGAGAACCCTGGCTGCACGGAGCCCCTCTGCGCGATCAATGCTCAGGTTGCGCGCGTGCCGAGCACCCTGAACGCCAGCAATATTGAGCAGCCGTCTGGCCACCTGCCTGCGCAAGCCGGCTGCGTTGGCCAAAACCTTCGGCTTCTTGACCGCGATCTTGAGCTTGACCAGCTTGAGCTGGCCCACGAGGGCGCGAGTGGCACCGACCGGGTCATCCCGAACCCTCTGAGTGCCTCCCCAGCGCTGGAACACCAAATCATCGACCACGATCGTTGGAATGACTGCCCCGAACCGTGCCGCCATCTCGTCGAGCGGCTGCAGCAGCATGAGCTCCATGAGCCCAGAGGCGAACGCGTCGCCAGCCAGGACCGTCCGGAACACCTCCAACTCCTGCGAGCAGCAACCGTCGAGGTGGAGCACCCTGGGCGCACGGTAGAACGAGACCTGAAGCTTGGCCAGCCAGAGTAGGAAACCGAACTTGATGGTTGCCTGGACCAGGCGCGCGTGGGAGGCCTGCTCGAAGGCCTTCCAGAGATCCAGCAGGATGATGGCAGACGCCCAATCTTGATCAGGATGAAAGTCGGCCATCATAGCAATCCACTCAGAACGAGCCGGCTGTTGCCAAACCGCTCTGTCACACGAGCGCCCTGAGCATGCCCACCAAAACGGCCTGTCATTGTCCTTCTCCCACTGCTGCATGAGAGGTCGCCGCAGAAGCCCCGAGGAAGGCCACCGCCCGACGAGGAACGCCTTGCCACGCAGCCCCGCGAGCTCGAGTTCCAGAAGGGAAACCCTTGGGGTCCGCAGCCAGGGCGGCCAGAGGCGGCCCCCCCAAAAACGGCGCGCTTTGGAGGTGCAGGTGCAGGCGGAGGCGGGCCGGCCCAGGAGCCGGGCACACGAGGCCCTGCAAAAGAAAAAGCGAGAGAAGGGGGGATAGAGAGAGAGGGAGAGAAAGGAGAGAGAAAGAAACACATGGAAATAGCGAGACAAAAAAAGGGAATGATGACGACAACAAAGGGGGGTACCCGAATGTGGTGATTTCCCCACGCGCCCCCCGTCACAGAAAGACGGCGAAATCACCAAACTGGGGCGGAACGGTCGGGAAACCTGGCCCGCGGTGGACCCAGCGGTCGCGTAGAAAACGATCATGGGACGCCCGCGCGAACACGCACACATACACACACACACACACACACACACACACACACACGCGCGCGCGCGCACACACATACGCTGACGCACCCGATACAAACAAACAGGCAGGCAGGCAAAAAGGGGGCACGCAGGTTGGATTGACAGACAGGCAAAGGGAAAACGGAGAGAGGAGGGGGGGGAGAGTGAGAGAGAGAGAGAGAGAGCGAGGGACCCCCGAATTTGGTGATTTTCCCGCGCGCCCCCCCCCGCCGCCACACAAAGCCGACAGAATCACCAAACTAAGGCTGAGCGGTCAGAAAAACTTGCCCGCGGGGCCCCGGCGGCCCCAGGACGCAGCACGCACGTGGCACCCAAGGTCCCCTAAGTGGCGCCTCTCCTCCGTGGGCATTCCAGAACCCGCCTGAGTTTCCCAAGGAGGCCCCCGGAGCGGTGGTGAATTCCCCAGAGGGCCTCGCGACGGTCCCACGAGGCTCCCAGGCTGCCCCAGGCAGTTTCCGGCGGTACACCGAGGGCTGGTGAAGCCGCCAGAGTGCCCACACAGGACATCCAAGAGGGCCACAACAGTCAAAAACCAAAGGCATTCCACCCCAAAGTGTCTGGCTTGCTTGTCTGGAATTGATATGCGTTGCGAACGCGTGGCCCTAAGATGGCCCCAGAGGCCCACGTTGACCAGAAGGAAGGCCCAGGACCACTGGCCGAAAAGATGGCCCAAGACTGCCTTGAATACCAATCCCAAGCGCGACTTCAGCGGCCAAGGCGTGCGCTTCTAAGCCAAGGATTCGTTCATCCAGGCACGAAACGTCTGACGCGCCATATGCTTGGCCCATGGCAAGTTTGAAGTGAGCGCGGGCGAATGAGGCAAAGCATGCGCGATGGTTCTAGTCAGGGACCCCCAAGACGTCACTCCGAACTATCACTCACACTGGCAGCAAGCGCAGAAAAAAAGGCTCCGATGCGATCGCCAGATGCAACGGAGAAGTTGCAACGGGGCCCAAGACTGGGCCCCCGCGACCTAGTCCGGTGATTTCCTTGACGGGGCACCAACGGGGTGTGGGCGCGGAAATCACCGTGTTGAATGTTTGTCCTTCCCCTTTTTCGTCTTTTCTTTCCCTGATTCCTGTCGCTGTTGCGATTCTAGATTACGCGATGGTCGCGGCCGTCGGGGTTGGTTTTGGACGCAGTCCGTTGGATGCGCATCTTTTCCACGCTGTTTTCTCTCCGCCGCACGCGAACGCATTGGCGTCGTCGTCGTCCGCTGTAGGGGAATCGTCGTCGTCGTCTTCGTCGGTAGATTGGTCGGTCGGTCGTCCTCCATCCTCCTGGTCCGCCTCGTCCTCCACTCCCCCCTCCTGCTCCTCCTCTTTCTCCTCTTCCTCCTACTCCTCCTCCTCCTCCTCCTCCTCCTCCTTCTCCTCTTCTTCCTCCTCCTCCTCCTCCACCCCCTGGAGTTTCAGTACACCTCGGAGGCTTTCGCGAGACGCGGCTGCTCGGCACCCGAAGAATGCCCCATCCTCTGGCTTCGCGGCCTCGCACCCAAATCCTGGACCCACGTCCCTCCTCCCCCCGACTCGCCTCTCTTCGCGGCCTCAGGTGCCTTCCCCTCGGTCGGGGGGGGTCGCATCTGGGGCGCGGGGGACGCCAGTGGTGGGGAGTTCTCGAGGGATCGTAGGCTTAGGAGGGTGTCTTGGGGTGTCGCGGTCTTCGGGCGAGATTTAGAGGAGCTCCCTGAATCCGTTGACGCGTCTCAGCTCGCCTTGATTGCTGGTGGAGGCATCTCGGGGAAGCAGAGTGTCAACCGTGGGGAGCTCTGGGCCCTTGTGAAGTATTTGGAACTTAGTCCAGAGGGTGCGAGGCTAGGATATGTTGCTGATTCTGCCTATGTTGCCCGTGGCCTTATTTCTGGTGCCCTGGATAGGTTTGCCCGCGTGAGCAGCCACCGCGACTTGTGGGCGCGTGTGCGTGAGCTGCTCAGTGTCAGGGATTTGCTCCTTGTTCGGGTCCCGAGCCACATGGACACCAAGGAGGCTCTCGAGAAAGGTCTCGGCCCGAGTTTTGTAGTGGCCAACGCGATCGCGGATCAGATCGCGGGCGCTTTCGTGCAGGATGTGAAGGTACCTGTCAGTGTCAGTTCTTCGGTCCAGATGGATGATGCCATCACGCGTAAGATTCAGAATCACTTGATTGAGGTGATGTGCCAGGTCCTTAAGACTGAGGGTAAGAGACCCCCACGTCCCCCCACTGTCCGTGTTCGGCACACTCGTGCCAAGCTTCTGCGGTCGGCGGCCTTGCGTTCCGAGCACGCCTGTCCATAGATTGCTGGAGATGTCGGGCAGTGCCGCAGATGTGGGTGCCGTGCCAAGGCCTCCGAGCTCACGGCCTTCCTGGGGACCCCTTGCCGCCCGATGTCCTGGACGGGGGCGGTGTTCCGGCCCTCGGGGGCCGTGTGTGTCCGCTCGAGGGAGGTGCACCCCACCCACCAGCTTTGTTTCTGGCCCGATCAGGATGTTTTGTTTTTGTTCTGTTTGCGGGTGTTATAGCACCAATCAGCTGCGAGAGCTGGCCAGCGTGTGCAGTTATAATCTCAGCAGAGCAGGCTCTCATAATCTGACCAGGACCGGGAAGGCCTCCTGCCTGGTAGCTGCGTTCGGGGTAGAGAGCGGCAGGAGCGTAAGGAGCGGGGGGGGCGGAGAGACAGGGGGGAGAGCGCCGCGGCCGCGGCCCGCCGCGGGGCGTTCGACGCGGCCGTCATCAGGCGCCGCCCTGCTTCCGCCCCCCCCACCCCGCCCTGCTGCTGCTGCCCCGCCCTGACCCTCTTTCCTTCGGTCACTGCGACCTTGCCCTATATACTCCTCCTCCACCCCCTTCCTCCTGCTCCTCCTCATTCTCCTCATCCTCGTCATCCTCCTCCTCACGCTCCTACTTCTCCTCCTCCTCCTCCTCCTCCTCCTCATCATCATCATCATCATCATCATCATCATCTCATCATCATCATCATCATCATCATCAGCATCAGCATCAGCATCATCATCATCATCATCATCATCATCATCATCATCATCATCATCATCATCATCATCATCATCATCATCATCATCATCATCATCATCATCATCATCATCATCATCATCATCATCATCATCATCATCATCATCATCATCATCATCATCATCATCATCATCATCATCATCATCCTCGTCTCGCTACCTCCTCCTCCTCCTCCTCCTCCTTCCCCTCCTCCTGCCACTCCTGCTTCTGCTCCTGCTCCCCCTGCTCCTCCTGCTCCCCCTGCTCCTCCTGCTCCCCCTGCTCCTCCTGCTCCTCCTGCTCCTCCTGCTCCTCCTGCTCCTCCTGCTCGTCCTGCTCCTCCTGCTGCTCCTCCTCCTCCTCCTCCTCCTCCTCCTCCTCCTCCCATCCCCCTCCACGTCCGCCCCCCCCCCCCCCCCATCTGGCTGCTTCTGAACCCTTGCGCCATTGCAACGCACCGCCCTCTCATGGAGAACCCAACCCCAGCCGAACGCCAGGCACTCGAAGAACCCTACGAGACATCACTCCATTCGCAGATATCCCACCCAGCACGCTTCCCATGTAGCTACTCCAACACACCTTTCCGTTTGCGTTTCCACTGCTCAACCTTTGCGTTTCCAGTGTTCGGCCCTCCCGTTTCCAGAGTTGAGAACAGCCTTTCCAGGGTTGTGGAACAGCCTTTCCAGGGTTGGCGGGAGCTCAGGTTTCCAGGGTTGAGACCTCGTCTCTCCGGTTCAACATTTAACCTCTAGAACGCTCCTAGAGGATCCCCCAGTGCTGCCTCACGAATGCGAAAGACATTGAAAACAACAAAAAACAAACGAATTGGAAGCAGCCTGTGAATGGTCAACCTTCGCAGAGAGGATAATTCAGTCTGAATCATGTGCTCCAGCTGGCAGGCTGGTCCCTCACTGCCGGCAGGCCCTAACTGGAGGGGCTGGCATCGATGCCAGAAAGAAAGGTGTGGTCTGGGAGAACGACCTCCCACGTGGACAACTCCGTCGGCCACGACTCGCAGTCCTGGAGTTCTGCAGGGCGGGTGAAAAAGTCCTGATCCGTATACTCCGTCGCGTTCATTCCCAAGACGACGCATAAGGAGGAGGAACCGTCGCCCATCACAAACTGCCCCCTGCTCGTGAACGAGAATGTCTGCCTGTCGCCTCCGGTACAGCCCGTGAGGCTGAATGTGGACCCAGCTTCAAAGTCTCCGTTGACAGTGAGACAAGCAGGAGCCGTGAAGGTCAAATCCGCCTCCCATGATCTGCCGTTTTTCGACCCGCTGTACAGCGGGTCGCAACGCCGATTGAAATTGACGGAACGGATTTGCTGCTTGCTGGGGTCGTACTTGAACTGGGTGTCCTCGCCCTCGGTCTTGCAACTGTGGCCCTGGATGCTGCCGCACTGCGGGTGGGGCGGGGAACCGGCGATGTCCAGGCAATAGCTGCGGAAATTTTTTGGATCCACAATGGTCGCGAGGTAAACGTTGGGCCCAGGCGCATAAGGGTTGCCCTCCATCTCGGCCTCGACGCGAGGCTCCTCCAGCTCCTCCTCCCCCTCCGTGGGGGCCCGAAAGCCCGTCAGCACCGAGCGCCGCTGAACGGCCTCGACGCGCGCGGCCGCGTGCTCGCACTCCTGCTGGGTGTCCACCTCCGCCTCAGACCGCGGCGCGCTGGCGGCGCCGAGCGAGGCCGCGGCTGCGAGCCCCGAGGCCACGGCGAGCAGAGCAACGCGGGCCCCCGCGGCCGCCATCTCTTTGTTAGCGCGCGCCGGCCAGCCTGGCCACGCGCTGGGAGCACGCGCGAGGCTGTGTGAGCACGCAGCAACGTATAGACTATAGACTAGGCTGCCCAATAGTGCTTGAGCCCGACTAGCTGCGAGGCGTGCCGTGTCCGGCTTTCAGAATGCACGAGAAAATGGCCGTGCCGTGCCGTGCAGTGCCGTGCCATGCTTTGTTTCTTGAGAGCGAGAAAATTGCCGCGCTCTGGCGCGCCCGAGGTTCATACTGTAATCAAAAAAAAACGACCCGTGCCGTGCCTAGCACGCGGAGACTTGCACGGAAAAACGCCCATAGGCTTCATAATTTCAGAATATGCCAACAAAAAAACCCGTGCCCGCGTGCCGTGCGGTGCTTGGTCTCGAGAATGCGAGGCATGTGCTGTGCAGCGCCGTGCCCGCGTGCCGTGCCGCACCGTGCGATAATTTGCTCCGGGAACGCATAGACGTTGCCATGCCGCATCATGCTGAACCCGCGTGCCGTGCCGTGCTTGGTTTTGGGAGTACGGAATAAATGCCGTGCCGTGCCATGCCCGCATGCCGTGGCGTGCTCGGACTCAAGAGTGTGAGCCACATGCCGTGTCGTGCCCTGCCGTGCACGCATGCCGTGCCGCGGCGTGTTTGGCTTCGCGCATCCGGAAAAATGGTCGCGCCGTGCCGTGCCAATGTGCAATGCCGTGATTCGTTTCGAGAATGTGACAAAATAGCCGTGTCGTGCCGTGCCATGCGCGGGTGCTGTGCCGTGCCTTGTCTCGAGACTGCGGCAAAACTGCCGTGCCGCGCAAAGCCGTGTCCGCATGCCGCGCCGTGCTTAGCGTCGAAAATGCATCATAGGTTGCCGTGCGAACCCGTGCTGCGGTCACGTGCAATGCCACGCTTGGTTGCGCGGAAACGAGCAATTGCCGTGCAATGCCGTGCCGTGCTCGCGCGTCATGTCGTGCTCAACCTTCGAAATGCAAAAATGCTGCCGCACTTTGCCGTGCCGTGCCGTGCCGTGCCGTGCCAACGTGCCGTGCAACGCTTGACTGCGAGGCTGCCGAAAAATGCATACAAATTGCCGCGCCGTGCTGTGCACGCGGGCCGTGTCCTGCTGAATGTCGAGAACTCAAATATGGCAAGAACGTCGGCGGCACTCTGCGAGGCTCTGAAAAAAAACCGCCGCAGGCGCCGATCATTTTCGTGAAAACAATGTGGGTGGGAGGCGGGGTGCGTCGCAGGTGGGTCGCGGGCCCAGTCACGGGCCGGTCCCAGGTGGGTCGCGGGCGGGTCGCGGGTGGGTCGCGGGCGGGTCGCGGGCGGATCGCGGGGTGGGTCGAGGGTGGGTCGCGGGCCGAGTTGCGGAGGGGACGACGACACCAAAAAACAAACACAACATCAACAGCAACAACAACAACAATCATCATGTTAAGACTGTTCGCTTCTATCTGCTCGAGTGTTCGGAAGCACGTATTTCCCAAAACCTCGATACCCGCCCTCTTCGGCTTCGATCGTGCCCCTTTTGGGGGGTATACTTTCTGCAGGCCGGGCCCCGGCAAGCGGCGGGGCGGCCAGGGACTGTCGGCCTGGCCAGCGGCAGCGTTGATCGGTGGCAACCCGACCCCAAAAAAGGACGGACATGGGACCGACCACGACGACGACGACGTCGACGACGACGACGACGGCGACGACGACGAGCGAATGCGAGAAAGAGAACGACAACAGGGCCACGAAGGGCACGAAGTAGGCCACGAAGGGCGACAGAGGGGACACGAAGGGAATGCGTATGGGGCCACGAAGAGCGCGAACGAGCAGGGGCCACGAAGAGCAGATAATGCGGGGCCGCAAAGGGCAACGACGGGGCCACAGAGGGCAGCAACTGGGCCAAGTAGGACAGCGAGGGGGCCACAAAGGGCGACAGCGGGGCCACGAAGGGCATGCACATGGGGCCACGACGGGCACGAACGAGCGGGGGCCACGAAGGGCATACGTACATTGGGCCGCGTAGGGCAAGGACGGGGCCACTGAAGGCAGCAACGGGGCCACGAAAGGCAGCAACGGGGGCCATGAAGGGCGACAGCGGGGCCACGAAGGGCATGCATATGGGGCCACGACGGGCGCGAACGAGCGGGGGGCACGAACGTCATACATATATGGGACCACGATGGGCCGCAAGGGGGCCACGAAGGGCTGCAACGGGGCCACGAAGGGCAGCGAGGGGGCCACGAAAGGCTGCAACGGGGCCACGAAGGGCAGCGAGGGGCCACGAAGGACTGCAGCGGGGCCACGAAACAAAACGAAGGGGCCACGCAACGGGGCCACGAAACAAAACGAGTGGGCCACACAGGGGTGCAACGGGGCCACGACACAAAGCGAGAGGGCCACGAAGGGCTGCAACGGGGCCACGAAGGGCAGCGATAGGGGGCCACGAAGGGCTCCAACGGGGCCACGAAGGGCAGCGAGGGGGCCACGAAGGGTTGCAACGGGTCCACGAAGGGCAGCGAGGAGGCCACGAACGGCTGCAACGGGGCCACAAAGGGCAGCGAGATCCCGATTCCTAAATAATCGGTGAAGGAGTCGTAAGCGTGAGCGCGACTCCTGGGTGCCTGAGTGTCGGGTGCGCGGCGCTTGAGTGGATTACGGGAATTTCCAACGCAAGGGTGCTATTCTTGAGTAGTTGGCAAGCAAAGCTCCAGCGAGAGCGCGACTCCAGAACGCCGAGAGAGCGAGTCCTCAATAAATTGTAAGGTAGTCCCAAGCGAGTGACTTTCTGTCTGTCTGTCTGCCTGCCTGTCTGTCTGTATGTCTGGCTGTCCGTCTGTCCGTCCGTCTCTCTCTCTCTCTCTCTCTCTCTCTCTCTCTATATATATATATCTCTCTCTCTCTCTCCCTCTCTTTCGAACTTCCCAACGGGCTTCGACTGCCCACCCTCGAATGATACGGCATGCCGGCTTTGGGGGAAACGGGTCCTGGACCCCGGGGCGTTCTCCCAGGAACAGCTGCTCGTCCTGAGCCGCTTTCAAACAGTCCTGGGGCCTGTGGAAAGCCTAGAAGGCAGAACGGGTGGGAAAACCTGAGGACCCGCTTCCCTCAGGACCCGCTGCAAGCAGCAGAAAATCCACCCTCAGAATGAGCACTCCGAGAAGCGAAGCCGTTTAGTACACGCACACATGGAAGGAATCGAAGAGGGCAAGGCTGTTTAGTGAAGGCCAACGGCCCGTCAATAAACGCCAATGATAGGGATCGGGGTGGGTTTAGGGGACACCAAGAGGTACCCATACCGCTACTACCTGGACCTCTCCAGGGGTGCGTTCTGGTGAGAATTTCGAGGCGAATCCAGCGGTGGCGACGAGGGCCTCCCGGGAGGCCCAAAAAGGCGAACACGAGACGAGGGCAGCGGTATGGGTACCCTTTCCTCCTCTGAGGCTCCTTGCCCCCTTGACGCCTGCTTCACGGCGAAGCTTGTAGGACGGGGCAGGCGTCGGGGGCGACGATGGGGGCGAGTAGCCCAGGGGAGAGCAGCACATGTATCCACAGGCGTCGACGGCTCGTGTCTCCGGCGAGGCTCCGCGGCGCATGCGCGCAGTGCCCGCTCCTGGGCCGCTCGCCCCCGTTGCTGCCTCCGACGGGCGGCGGCCGTGGGATCCGCTCGCGGCGCTCCCGGGGCCTTGGGATCCGGCGGGCCGCCGGCGAGGAGCGGTGCGGGCGGGCGGGGGGCCTCCGAGGTACTGCGGCAAGTAGATCGCCCACGAGGGCAGCCCGCTCTCGTAGAGCCTCCGCGGCGGGCCCCGGCCCCCCCCCTCGGGTCGCGAACGGAAAACACGGCGCCAGGCGAAGCGAGGACGGGGACAATCTTCCGGGGGAGGGTGGACCGAGCATCTCTGAGATCTGGCGGCTATGGAGGACGTATTGGGCGTCGCGGCCTTCTCAGAGCGTTCCCGATCGCTCTGAGAGCGTTCCAGAACGCTCTGGAACGTATTTTTCCTCGTCCTCGCCTCGTCCGACGACGGATGTGCTCGGCAATCTCGGCCTCTGGGGGCCCTTGCTGGGCCGCGGGACTGTCAAGAGACGACTCGGGATGGAAAGCCCGTCCCAAGGAATGGGTCAAGACCTTTGGGGGCGACGCTGTGAACAGATCATGGCGTCGGGGACCTGGGGGTTGTACGAGGTCGATCGCTCACAAGGGCAGACCGTTCTCGTAGAGCCTCCGTGGCAAGGCGGAGGCCGTTTTTCAATGTTTTGACGGTGACCTGGGTCATCCTCTGGGAGGGGAGGGGGGAGGTGCCGACCGATAACCGAAGCATTTCGCTGCGGGCAACCCCACGTATGCTCGCGCGCACCAAGACTGCGGACCCCCCCATCCGGGCCGGCGCAACCGACAAGGTCAGGTGATCCGGGGGGGGGGGAGGGCCCAAGAACCCGGATTATCGGCGGACCCTAAACTCATACAGCATCCCCAGAGCGCACTTGGAAAATACATGCCGAATTCTTCCCGCGTTCGCACGCCTACCGCGGTGCGGGAGAACATGGCGCTTATAACGTATAAGGAGGTTGTACCAGGTTGTGTGCCACATCGTCGAAAAATTATGTTTTTTTGTTTTTTATTTTTTTCAAAAAAAAAAAATATATATAAAAAAGTAAAAAAAAAAAAAAAAAAAAAAAAAAAAAAAAAAAAAAAAAAAAAAAAAAAAAAAAAAAAAAAAAAAAAAAAAAAAAAAAAAAAAAAAACGCCCACGGGAGGCCCGCGGGCCCACGTCTCGGGAGGTCCGCGGGCACACGTCTCAAAACAACTATCGCAAAACGTCGGATGTCTGGGGAGGGCGGGATGGCGGAGCGCGCGTGGCGAGGGCCGAGGCGGCAGGAGTGACGGAGACGGCGGCGTGGAGGCGGAGGCAGAGGCGCAGCAGGCGGGAGGCGAGAGGGGAGAGGAGGCAGGTGGGAGGCAGGGGGAGGGAGGCGGGAGGAGGGATGGGCCAATGGGCTGGACCACTTCGCACGCGGCATCTCGGAGCTCAGAATTGCGAGGATGTCTCAGGCGAAACGGGCCAGACCACCTCGCGGTCAAAACTTAGAGTTGCCAGGATGCGTCAGTCGGCGCCCAAGCTCCTCCCTGGGAGCACAAGTCGAGAATAGTAGCATGATCAAATGGTTCGTTTGAATCCTACCCCTCCTCCCTCCTCCCTCCTCCCTGTCGGAGCTCAGAAATGCAAAGATGTCTCAAGCGAAACGGACCGAACCACCTCGCGCGGGGCATATCCGAAATCATAATGGAAAGGATGTCTCAAGCGAAACGCGCCAGACCACCTCGAACTACGCAAAATCTGGGAGCCCAGAATTGCGAAGACGTCCCAGGCAAAACGGGCCATACCACCTCGCGCGCGGCGTGGCCATGCGCACTGGGTTCGGCCAGGCCAGCGATCGCCTGCAATCGGTTTCACGGCCGTCGCGAGGAGTCGAAGGGCTCAGCGGTGGGCTCAAAAACAACCAGATCGAAGCTTACGCGCTCGTGGTCCTTGGGCCTGCAAGTGGCAGACACGAGGATCGCGGGGGATTGGGAGGGCGGGCGATGTTATCCTCGATTCCTCCGCTGGCCTGAGCAAGTGTGGATGCTCAGGATCATGCATCACCTCCCGCAGCACGTACGGCAGGAAGGGGTCATCGAACCTGACGCAAACAGTGGTGTTGTGTATCACCTTCACAGGGGAGGTCACAGGAAATGGCAAATGCTTATGGAATGGGCACGCATCGCTCGTGCGATATTGGCACATCGAATACTTGGGACCGCGTGGAGCATATCACCACGACATAGCAAGCATAATCCCACCAGCCCTTTGGGCGTGAGTGGTTTAGGGAGCTCTCTCTGTTCTCAACCCCCCAACCCCCCTTCTTCCCCTTCGGGGAGGGGTTTACCCCGCATGTGGGCCCAATCCCAAACCACTGGGTCCAATCCCAACCAACTGGGACCAATCCCAACCAGTGCGAAAAGCAAACTGGGCCCAATCCCAACCATCTTGGGATAGCCCCACCAAAAGATTTTAAGTGTACAGAAGCCCAAGACGACTGCGAAGACCAAGTAACACCTCTTATGTCAACGCAGAGGATCTGGAAGCCAACATGCGTGCTCGAGTTGGAATTGGTCTCAGTTTTTGGTCTGCGCACGAGCACTACGTTAAGATGAGCAAGAGGGCACCGAAGCGTAAGCAAAAACGATTCGAATTGCATCGATTCTACAATATGCCAGATGGATCCTCCTAGTACTAGTCGTAGTAGTAGTAGTAGTAGTAGAAGAAGAAGAAGAAGTAGTAGGAGTAGTAGTAGTAGTAGTAGTAGAAAATAGAAGTAGTAGTATTAGTAGTAGTAGTAGTAGTAGTGGTAGTAGTAGTAGTAGTAGTAGTAGTAGTAGTGAAGGTAAAAGTCGTCGTATTATT